CCACAACCCACTCCGAAAAAAGGCACACAGAAACGAGGATAAATTCAAGTTTACAGAGGAAAATTCAAGAAGATTCCATGAAGGCAGAGCCATAAAAGTTTTACTGGTGATGGGTCCATTATAAACTATAAAATCTCCAGAAAATGCAGTTAAACAGGAGAAAATTCAAGAAAAATCCATAAAAGCAGATTCATTAAAGAATTAATGGTGATGGGCCTTCACTAACTAAAAGTGAAAAACTCAAACATTTGGGATAGAAATGGATATACCATGCGGAAAGTAAGCAGTTGAGCATGGTCATTACATAAGGTATGCCTGAAAACTCTTCTGTAGACCTTTTCTTTATGATCCTCTTGAATGTGATCCTACAATCATCATCAAGAAACTCTGATTAAAAATAAACACAACTCAGGAATGATACTAGTAAATTGAAGATTTTCCGAAACTGTACAAAAAAATGTCCTTGTGAAGAAAGTTGAAGCATATTTTGAAAAAGATAAGAGAATGACAGCTAAAAATACATATTACAACTCATAATTTTTTTCTTTATTTTTTCATGGCCCGTAGATTGAAACCTCAAACAGAGAGATTAATGAACCCTTCTTGGGTTTTGAGTACTTACAATGGTGCCAAGAAGAGGAACAGAGCAAAAGCATTGCCTATAACAGAAAAAAAATTAAATAAAATAAAGATAAAACTAAACGCAATAAGCATTCAAATCCATGCAAGAACCCAGAATTTAAAGCCCAAGAACAAGAAAATGAAGAAAAACCCACCAAAAATTCCAATCACGAAATGCAGAATGTTTTCCATTTCCTTGAACGACTTCTTGAATGAACTCAAGAATTAAGAGTAGAAGAAAAAACAAACACACCAAGAAATCAAAATGAGAGTCCGAAAACAAGAGTTTATGTTATATTCGGGTTTTTTTCTGTTCAAATTCTCTATTTGTGTGTGTGTGCAGTTACTAGTAGTCTGACAGCACCAGAGAGGTGAGAGATGTATATAAGTTTTTTTGCTCTCTCAATACATCGACAGCAATTTATCTTTTGAGCAAGGGAAAAATTTGCTATATATAGATAAGACTCAAACGTATTTATAATATCTTTCAGAATGGTACGCATTATGCATATGCATGTCGACAAGAGCCTGTTGAATAAAATGCTTCTTTCTTTTTTATTTTCCAGTGAATTATTATTTTTATTTTAATTTAAGAAATACTTTTAAATGATTCTCATTAAAGAGACGTGTTCAAAGGTAGATTTAAAAAATTATTTAAAAAAATTAACGATTATAAGCAAATGTTCAAATGCAAGTAACACTGTAATACATATACTTTTTAGATTGGACTGATACTCATTTATGGGGTTGAATTTATTGATGATCATTCAACTTTATATTACCATGACCTCCTAATTTGATTTTGTTTCATAACGACCACTCAACTTTACATTTAGTGTCATCATGACTATTTAATTTGATTTTATTTCGTCAGAACCACCCAATTTTATATAACGTTTCACCATGGTCACCCAATTTCTTTTCGCAATTTTCACTCATTTTAACAAGGGTAAAATGACAATTTTAGCGTTATATAAAAAATATTATAAAAACAAAAATAAAAGTTTTTTTTTTATTTTTAAAAAGATTTTTTAAAATACATTTTTATTTTATTTAATTTTTCTAAAATAACTTTTTATTTTATTTTAAATTTTTTTTTTAAATAAGTTTTTATTTTATTTTATTTTTTAGGAACTTTTTTTAAAATAATTATTTTATTTTATTTCTAAGTAACCTTTTTCCAAATAGATTTTTTTTTATGTAACGTTCTTTTTAAATAAGGTTTTATTTTTTAAAAAAATAAGTTTTTAAATTCATTTTTTATATATTATGCAAAATGACTATTTTATCCCTTTTAAAATTAGTAAAAAGTGTGAAAAGAAGTTAGGTGACCATGTGAAATGTTATATGAAATTGGATGGTCAGGATAAAATGAAATCAAGTTGAATAACTATAATGACTCTAAATATAATGTTGGGTAGCTATGATGAAACAAAATCAAATTAGGTTGCCATGATGATGATAACGCTAAACATAAATATGAATGGCCATTGGTGAATTTAACTCGTTTACATAATACACACATTTTTTTTAAAAGATTTGAGTCATCAATCATTCATTAAAAAAAATAAAAAAATAAATTCAAACTTAATTGTATAACGAGAAAATTATTGAAGAAATAAACTCTTTTGTATACTCACTCGAGCAATATCATAAAACCACCATCCACATGCTACTCAGAATCACCATGTTTCAAACCTTTTATTTATGTCCTGATTTCTGTTGACTTGGTTGATCGAGCTAATCTCTATTTTTGGGTTCAACTTTTCACTCAATCCACCAATAACACTTCATCCATGTCCTCCATGCCACATTTAAATTGCATGTTAACCTTAAATTTCCAATTCTTATTCAACTGGTCCAATATATTCAATTAAAACGTTGCATACGTATCTAGAAGTTTTTACAAATCACTTACAAATGATGGAATCATAAAAGTTGAACCTTTTGAATTCTATTCGTAACTCACTAGATTATAACAAATCGAAAATATGTACAGATGAGAGATGTCTAGCAGTAAGATGAAGGAAAAGGATTTAATGGAGGGACTATTGAACATTTGGTGATCTCGTATGTGTAGATTTCAATGATGACCCATTATTTCAATGAGTCGTTTCTAAAGAAAATTTCGTGAAAACTTACTCAAAAAATCACCAATTCATTGTGAAAGATACAATTTTTTTCAGAAGAATTCGCTTTCTTATATATCTTATCCATGCACACCATCATTGAAAAGTAGATATCAGTAATTTAGTACCTAAATTTTTTTCAAATTGGAATGTGTTTTTTATTTTTTTTTAGTTGAACCCCATCGATCGGCCTCACAAAATTTCTAACTCAGTAATTTAGTATCTGAATATGTAAAGCTTAAAGTGGAATGTGCTTCTTCTTCTTCTTCTTCTTTTTTTTTATTTTTATTTTTTCCAACCCCCCTCGCCACTCAAAAAAATAAAAAATAAAATAAAATATGCATACATAAGATCAATGTTTTAAAAAGCGTAAAGTGTGATTAGGCGTGTAGTCGAAACTTCAAGTTTTATGAGCTTAAGCGAGGCTTATGCGTAAAAAAAAAAAAATTCTTATTTATAATGTTATTTTAATTTTTTAATCATTTTAAAAATTATTCAATAGTTAAAATAATACATAATAAATATTTAAAATTATAAAATATAATATTTACTTAATAACTCCTACCATTAGTCAATTATACAATCTTCAAATTTCTGGAATGTAAAAATTAGAAATCTTTTCATAGTTTCAACTTTCAACTAGACAAGTCATACTTAATAGATTTATAAGAACTTTATACATGCTTTTAGAATCTGTAATAAAATGAGTTTCAAGATCATAATTATCTAATGTAGATAACGTCATAACTTAAAATATTATTTAACCATTTAGATAAAGTCATTTTTAACTTTTGTATAGATAAAATCTTCTAGAAGCTTGAAATAAAAGTCAAATAAAAGTTTTTTTAAAAAATAATAATAAACTAGAAAGTCAAATAAAAATCTTTTAAAAAACAAAAAATGAAATATATAACGTGTCTAGAAAGAAGAAAGAAACGAAGGAAAAAATTCAACCACTTAGGAAATAAAAAAAAAAAGTGTCTAGGCGCGAAGCGAGATGTTTTGCCCAAACTTCGAGCCTAGATGATGCCTAAGTGAGCTTTTTAGAACACTGTATGAGATACAAATTGGACTGCCTTTTTTTGGTTTATTTTTTTCTCTGTTTCAAGGTATGGTAGCACATGATTTTTTTTTTTTTTTTTTTTTATTTTTTTTTTTTGACTGCCTTTTTTTTGGTTTATTTTTTTCTCTGTTCCAAGGTATGGTAGCACATGATTTATTTATTTTTTTAACCTTTTAGTTAGTTGAACCCCATCGATCGGCCTCATCAAATTTCTAACTCAGTAAATTAGTACCTGAATTTTTCGAATGTGGCAAAGTTGTCCCTGAAAATCTTTGATTGCTGCAAGATGGTCCCCGAATTATCAATATTAACTCCTTGTTTTAAAAGACTCCACCCTTGTTTGGTACAACTAAAAGTCAAATTTTTAGTAAATTTTGATAAAAGTTGATAAAATATGCCATTGAAAAATTGTAAATCGCATGAAATGTGTGATTGAAATTAACAGTTGACTTCCACTTAAACTTTCATCAAAATTTTAGATCACACCAAATAGGGACTTCAAAACTAACATTTAGTTTGGCGCTAATGAGGTTGTAAGAGAGCAATAATGTCGTGTTTACCTAAAATAAGAACTATTTAAAGTTTATAATGCTGTGTTTATCTAAAATAAGAACTATTTGAAATGTCAAAGTAGAGCTAAGGCCATAGTAGTTACCACATCTTTCTAATGTTACTTTACTAATAAAAAGACTGTTTAGCTAAGAGAGTTTATAATAATTTAAATTAGTATCAATAATTATTTTGAAGTGCACATTTCATTGAATTCACAATTTTTATTAACTTTAAAATCACATATTTTATCAAATTTTATTAAAATTTACTAAAAATATGATTTTTAGTAAAATCAAATATGGGCTCTAAGTCAAAATCAACTTAAAAATTTAACTAAGCAAGCACAAGCTACAAAAAATTGTCCTATAAAAGATATGAGAATTCATAGAATTGGACAAACCAAAATGCCACCTATGTATGTACATATAATAATTGTCATTTGTTTGTATTCATTAAATAGAAGAATAATTGGTTGTTGATATAATTTAGTGACCCATCATCCAACAAGTTATGACTAGTCCGAAATTTCACTTTCAAAAATGTATACAACCGCAATTGAATGAAGAAAATTGGGGATAGCATTTAAAGTTATATTGCCCTCAAAACAAGGGCTCTTCTTCTCAACTTCAATGGTTAGAAATTCAAAATTGTGTACATGCTGTGTTCGACACCTACACGTGCATATATACGTGAGAGAGAGAGAGATTGATTTGATGAATAATGAATTGAAGCTTATCGAGAATGAGTTTCTCGAAGGAAAGATTTTTGTCTTTTGACTTGGTTCCTTCCTCCGCTCTCAAGTTGAGGTTGCTACTCGACCCTATATTATATTATATGATTTTGACTTCATGTATCAAAACGTCAAAATATATACCTATTGTATGTATTATGTTGTATGTTTTAAATGATATTATTTTTTTACCTCAAATATATTTTCTCTATCAACTATTGATACTGTAGATAGCGTGTTATCGATGACTCGCAAAAGCCATCAATAGGTGGAAGCAGTGGCCCCCGCTAGCGATATGCTATCAACAACCATCATGTAGTGTGATCAATTCAAATATGCATGAATTTTATAAAATTATTTTCATTTAATCTTACTAATTCATAAAAATATTTAATACATTTTTTTGAATAGATTACAAAATTAAATAGTATCAGAATATAAAATTATAAAGTACAATGCTAGTGATTTCTTGATGTTAGATAACCATGCGCATGCATTTTCAAATTCAACTTTTTCACCCAAATTCTTGTAGCAATATAGTTAGGCACGATATGAATGTTCCGATTGACCAAGCTAATAATAAATTCTTTATTATCAATATTATTGAGTTGAGTAGGATCGAATTCAATAATTCTTCCGACTAGCTTCGTGACCCTAATAATTGAATCGAGCTAATAAAAAACTGTCAAGCTAAATTTGAAAAAATGTCGAAAATTGTCAAGCTATATTAACAATAATATACCCAAGAGGCACAGTGAAATTTTGCTTTATTTTTAGTATTCTTTTTTAATCTATCCTTGCTGAATCGTCGGATAGAGTCGAACACGACGACATGTTTTTAGGATTCATCAAGTAAAAATTAATTATGAAAAGATAGTCAGGAAAGAGAAGTGCACTGCCTTACCCGTAAGGCAACTGGTTATTAATTCTCAGCGGTGAGACAGATTCTATGTTTTCACTGTTTCA